TGCAAGACCCAGGGCCACCCTCAGGTGCAGGAGCAGGCTGTGAGCCCAAGTCCAATACGCAGTTCTCCAACCTCATCCCTCCAGCAGTGGGCAGGGTGAGAGCCCAGTGTTTCCTGCCAGCCACCCTGCAGCACAGCTCCTTTCTGAGCCCCCTGGCAGGTGCCACTGTGGAGGAAGCCATCAGCTGTGGGCACGCCTGGCGCACCATCACTCAGCTTTGAGTTCAGAGAGTTCAAATTCTGCATCTCTGACAGGAGCTGCTGGGCTCCCTGTGGTCACTTCATGGGACTTAGACATGGAGCTACTAGTTTAATGTCACAGAATGTGCGGTTTTTTTCTATGCATTTATTTCACATTATTGGTCTAAGTTGGTCTCTGGGGAGATTTTTGTCAAAAATGTGATTCGCAATGAAAACATGGTGTTCAGACCCCAAAACACCCCCCTACGCCATGGAGATCCACGCACATCGCGGCACTTCCCCACCGCTCACTAAGGTGAAAAATGGGGCTACATGTCACTTAGCTTTCATTTTATCCAACGACATTTTGCCTTTAAGTAAACTATTTTTGCAAATACGATTGTGTAATTGGAGCATCTGTCTTGATCATTATTTGGCAAACATGTCTTTTTAGCACCGGTCCAAATGAAATTTGGGAAATTTGGCTAATCACAATTTAACAGATGTTCTGTCCGGTTCTATGCAAGCTTAATTTTAACAGACATGAATCCGCCCCCTCCCTGAAGTCCTAATTGGACTCCCTCCAGGCCTATGGAGAACTGTAAAGGTGAGAAAATAATAATTTTATCACATCTAGTCTTGGTCTTGTAGTTGTAATTAATTTAAGTGAGATCTCATTTGACCTTGATAGCAGCAATTACTTAACAGGAGCCTTGACAAAGTGATTCGCGCAGCGCGTGTTTCCCCACAACACATCTTAATGGCCTCACAAAGCTGCATCCTAAACAGGCTACGGTGGGAGCAAGAGCATCTCCACATGAGCGGCCGTGACTGTCCTCTACTGCACAAAAAGAAGCAGGAGTTTCCTCCAGCACACAGGAGACACGGAAGGCCACCTCTCCCCCAGTGAGGTCACCTTGCAGCCCTGAATGGAGGCAGTGGGGCCGTGACTAGGGTACGATGAAGCGGACTGCCATTGTGCAGACAGGCAAAGCCCTGGCCTTCCGAGGACCCTTCCAAGGACCCTTCCTCACAGAACTGAATCACAGGGACTGTTTGCCTGAATCCCAAGAGCCTTCTCTCACCTTAGGTGGCCGGCTTCTCAAAACTAAGTGGACATCTCATTTACTTTGAATAAAAGCAAGATCCTTTTCACAGGAAAAGCATGAGAGAAATTAGAGGAGTACTAAAAGACTGTTGTCTATTGTCTAATAGACGTAAAACTGCACATCTAGAGATGAATGGAGGAGACACATTCTGAAGGAGTGAGGAGATTATTCTGCCTGTGGGAAAGCCCCCAGTCCTGCTAACTCTGCTGTCTCATAACAAAGTTATGCCTCTTTTCATGCATGAATTAGAAGTGTTTCCCATCACTTGAATGATCCCTTGGTTTCCCCCATTTTCAATAGTGGAAGTGGCCACTTAACCCAACCCATTCCTTGGTGACCATGGTGATGCCCCAGGAGTCTGGGGCTGGAGGCCCATGGCTGACTGGCTGTGGGACTCTGGGAGGCAATGACCTCTGCACCTGCAGTGTTTTTACTTCAAAGAGGAGGACACCCATCTGCAGAACACAGGAAGTGTCACCTGCTTTTCATGGAGGCAGATCCGGGAAGGACCACCAGGCACATTGCCAGACATCAGTACCTTGCAGTCCCCATGGACTCCCCACTGCATACCCCAGCATCCTCAGAGCCCCTCACAATCTACCGAGCATCCCACACACTCCCTCCACCATAGGACCAGAGATCCCAAAGCTTTCATAACCACACCCCCAGCAGGCATTCCCAAAGGGCTTTGATGAGTGGCACCTGTCACCTCTCACAGAGGTGCCCCAAAAGCCCCAGACATGTCTGTTGTCCCTCTAGAGCTCAGCACATGTGTGACCCAGATTGACACTGGGCCACTCCTGGAGAACAGCTAACCAGAGGTTGACACAACCCGAGAGCCTCTCCCTTCCCAGAAAAGACCCTCAGAGGAAATCCTCATGGAAATCACACAGTGTGATGGATACCCAAGTAAGGGCACGGAAACACCATTTCTGAGCTTCCTTAAATAACAAGAAAACACACAAATGGAAAAAAAGCAAAGTGTTTTTACCCTAGAGCCCAGGAAGCACCCAGCAGATAGCACCCTCTGGGCCCAGAATGGGCACCCTTGGGAACTGACTCCCACCCCAGAGGGCTTGTGGAGCAGCTCCCTGAGACTCAGCTGGGGCCAGCTCCTGAGGCTGCTAATGTGATGCCATCACTGTCATTGCCAACCCACTCCCCAGCGTCTCTCGGAACAAGGTGACAAAAGGCACATACAGGAATGACACTCTGTCCCCAACCACCCATCTTCAGTGTCACACACAGGAAAGCGGGAAGAGGCCTTGGCTGCCCCTGCTCCCCTGCAACTAGACCCACCAGGCACAGAGGCAAAGCCCCTCCTGAGAAGCCCTGGCCCCGGGGACTCTGGCTGCCTTCCCTCTGACTCTCGAAGCCTCATGATTGACCCAGGGACAAAGCCAGAGGCAGGAGCCATCTGCCTCGCAGTGAGCAGCCCCAAGGCAGGCGCTAAGGAAGGAGAAGCCCCTCCCTCCAGGCCAGGAGCCCCAGTGTCCCCCATGAAGCAGTGAGTCTCAGACACCGTGAGCCAGGTTTTCGCCTCAGCCTCCTGCCTGTCATGGCCTGCTGGGGGACACCAGGAGTGCTGAGGAGGTTCCCCTAGCTCACCATGCTCGCGTCCCCGAAGCGCCTCCTGGAACCTCCAGGGAGCACAGTCTAGTGGGGACACCAGGGCCTGCCCAGATCCAGGGGCAGCAAGTTCCCGCGGCCCTCCCTGGTGAAGTGTGAGAGCTGGGCCACATTTTCAACCCACACCCCACGGGCTCTCATTGAGAAACAAAAAGAGAATTTAACACGTGGCCCAGGATGAAATCCTGCAGCCTAAAAGATGGAGGATACTGTCCTAGGGCATTGGAAGATTCCGCTGAGCTGCGTTTATGACAGTGAAAGCCAGAATGTTTCATAAAATGACATTGGGTTTCCAATAAGATTCAAGAGGGAATTACAATAAAGAAACGAGAGCAGCAGAAGAGAGAGGCAACCAGCAGGAAAGAAAATGCCAACCGCAAAATGGAGTGGAGCCGTCTCCACAGGGCAGGGAGGGGAGGGGCAGAATGCCTCAGCATGGGGTCAGCAAGGAAGAGTCAAAGTTAAGACGACAGAGCTAGGCCCTCAGAACAGCACAACCGGAGTCTCCAAAGGGAAAGCAACGGGCGTCTCTGGCTCCCCCAACCCGAAGACCCCACTGGTGGGAGGCCATGGCTCATTAACAGGTGAAGCAACAGAACAAGAGGCCAGCACTTGAGGCCACCGGAAGCTTGTTCTGCCATGCAGATGACCAAAAACCAAACCAGAACCCAGCACCTAGAGACGAGACGGAGAGGCTGATAAACAACCATAGCAATCGCCAACTGACTCATGGTGATCTGCCTAAAGGGTGAGTCGCTTTCGTAACCACCTTAGGAAAGCATCATATATTCAGAGAGGGTTTGTTAAAGGAGGAAGGTTGTTTTCTAAAGATTCCCAGTCTCCTGCTAAGTTAATGAACCCGGCAAGGGCAGCAGGAGAAAAGAAGGCACCAAACAATGAGCCTCCCAAGAAAGGCGTCATTGTTCTATGAAGAAGCACAGCAGGAAACTACATCGTGAAACTAGGTTCAGCACAACTGTAAAAATCAGCACAGTTTAAGCTTGACACATCATTTGAGGAGATGAAGGCAAATGAGGTCTATTCTCCATACTTAAAATAAAACAGGAACAAAACTCACTTAAGGAGCAGAAATGACAAATCAAATGACAAAAAAAGGTGATCAAGTAGGAATGAGTAACTGAGCTGTTGTAAGATTCTCATGTTTGCTTTTTGGTGCTGAGGATTGACCCCAGGGGTGCTCTACACTGAGCGGCACCCCCAGCCCTTTTTATTTTTTTTTGTTTGGAGACAGGGTTTTGAGGTTGGCCTTGAACTTGCAATCCTCCTGCTTTAGCCTCCAGAGTCTCTAGAATGACAGGCGTGAGCCACCGTGTGTGGCAGAAATGTCACAGCCTTTAAAGGGTAAGTTAAAGCCAAAAGCTCCAAACCACATGTCTAAAACAAATGAAGTAGAATGTTCAAAATAAAAAGATGGATGGGGATCTGAGGACAAATGGGGAAATTGATGCAGAAATGATCATTTTACTAACAAAGAATAAATTTAGAAAAATTTGCACTGCATTGAGAGGATTATTTTATGTTGCGGAAAGTCACCCTAAAACAATGCAACCGTGTAGGAATGGCGTGTGTCAGAGGATCAAGCAAGGAAAAAGTCCATGTGATATGTATAAATATTAACACGTCCAAGTGCCAAAGAAAACATCAGCAAAATTTAACAAACAAAAACCACATGGATCATAGTATCTGAGGACAGACTAAAACTTAAAATTAATAATAAGGCTTGTGTCACCAATAACAATGAGCAAAACTCTAAGCTTTCAGGAGAAAAAATAACTAGTAATTATCAGAATAAAAAGAAGAAAGTAAAATGCCACACAGATTGTGTAGAACACACAACAAACATCACATTCCAGAACACCTGTGGCACAAGTCTTCAACATGGAATCCACAGCTTTAAAGATTCCAAGAAGGGATGGAGGGAGGGGAATCAATTGATATTCAGTGAAATTATCAACTGCTGAGGTACACATATCAACTATAGTTCTAATCAGCTGTTTCATGCCAGTGCTGCAAAATAAATAACTGAAAAATTTCAGTAGCTTATCATGTCAGTATTTCTTACCAGGGTCTGTGGGTCTGCCAACTCGGCAAGGCACAGCTGGGTGGGCCCAGGGCATGCAGGCTGTGTCCACAGCTCCTGTGGCTGAAGTAGTGATGATCCCCTGGAAGTAGCAGGCCATCCACAAGTGTTCTAAGCATGTAGAAAGCCTCAGTGTGGACAAGGGCTGTCCCCCCCCACTCCATTGTCCAAGGTGAGGCTCACAACTAAGCCCCAAGTTTGTGGGGCAGGGAAGTTTGCTCAGCCACTCACTGAGGCCACCGCTCACCCAGGAAGAAGAGAAAGACTGAGATAAATAACCATTAAAGCCAGCCAGCGTGCTGAAGAGAGGAAAGCGTGAGTAGACCAAGAAGACAAAACCACAGTGAGACACGGGAAACACACCAGCAGTCTGTCGGTTTCGAACTTTCAAAGCAGAGATTATGTTAAAGGCACAGAAGCCAACGCCCAACCTACAGACAACTGCTAGATCCATTGCAGAAAGCAAACACAATCCCAGTGTCAAGAGGTAACAAAGAGGAGGAAAAGCACACATTTGAAAATAAAACTAAAACTTGTCAGCAAAAACCCAGACATTTAATAATAATAATAATAATAATAATAATAAGGTCTCAACAAAAATAGCTAACATGAAAGTCTCTAGCAAAAAATATCATCACAATATTTAGCAAATAATCTTGGAAAGCCAAGCAAGCTTGGAAATCAAATATTTTAATAGTAGAAATGTTATAAATGAAAAAATCAAGTCAACAGTCAAGTGTGAGCCATCAACTGCCCAACAGAGCGAATAACCATTTCCAAAAAACCACAGGAGCACTCAGGGCCATTGGAAATGGATTAAGATGCCCATGCTACATACTGAGTGCTATGTCTCCCCAAAAGTCAATGAAACCTTACCCTCATAGGACAGCATCAAAGCTAGAGCAAGTACAGTTATCACCTCAGCAGGTGCTGATATTTTATCTAAAACATTTAACTTATCTCTAAAACCAATGTTACCCAGTGTCATTTAGATAGAGGTACAAGTGCCAAACAACCCAAGCCAATTGATAAACTTAGAGGATGTGAGAAAACGCCACCACTGTTCAAGCACTTTGGTGTTTCTATGGTGCATTTTTTTCAAATAAGTAAAGAATTATTCCTTTTGTGAGCACTTAACATACATTGGCACACACATGCACACAAGTGGGCACACACTTATTCCCAGGGGAAAACACATTTGAATGAAGTAACTTTAAAACCTGTAATGTGAGATCCCTCCCACCTGGGAGGGACATGCTCACACCCGGCATGGGGGGTAAATCAGTAAACCCTTCCATTAGGAAATCTGTGAGCTCCTAAAGAAAATCGCAACTTCAGTCATCTCGGGATCTGTGCTTCTGGTAAATTGGAGCATTTTCTCCCCAAAACATTCTTCCCAGTCACATTAATAGTAGAGTAATAAACATAAAACCACCCCCATGTCCATCTGACGGAAAGACGGCTGACCAAATTAAAAAACCTGTATGAGATGAAGTGCTGCGTGACCGTTAGAAAGGCTGCTGGTTTAAAAACAGCAAACAACGCATGAATGAGCTGAGGAGCCATTTAAACAGCCCCAAGTCTGGAACCCCCTGAGTAGACTGGGGGAGACAGTAAGATATTTGAAGAAATAATGGGTGAAATTTTTCAAATTTGATGAAAACTACAAGCCTGCACATCCTAGAAGCTCGACAAACCACATTCACAGGGAATGTGCAGAAGAGTCCTCTGAAGATACAGGATGATCAAAGTGGCTGAGAGCAGAGAGAAAGGAAGACCTCCCAGTGGCCAGAGGAGACAGACACATGGCGTCCTAGGAGCAGCACAAGGAGACACCAACTTCTGGACAGGTCAAGGCAGAGAGAAAGGCCACAAAGGGAGGACAAGGCTGCCCACCAAGAACCCCATGCCCGGCAGAAAGAGGTTCTCAAAACAAAAAGAACACTTCAGACCAATCCCCGGGGACTGAAGGACGGCAGAATCACCAGCTGACCCAAGAGCAGACCTCGGTCCAAAGGCACGTGGCAGCAGAGAGACACAAAGAACACTAGGAATGGCAACCACCCAGGCAAATGCTTACGTTTCTCCTGTTACTTAAATCTCTTTTAAAAATGAACGATTTTTACAAAAACATGAGTACAATGAATCACAGAGTAGCAGAGAGGCCAGGAGGCAGGATTATGGGGGTGCAGACAGAGGTCCCTGTGGCATTCGTGAAGCACACGGCTGCACCTGGAGCCCAACAGTGAAGAGGTAAGGCTCGTGCCTAGACCCTGGGCAGCCGCCCACGCAACAAGACAAAGAGCTCTGGCTAAAAAGCCAGCGAGGACATGAAGTGGAACTCAAAAACACCACAGCCCACACAAGAGGGAGATGATGTCAGGACAGGAGGTGACAGGATGGACTTCAGCCCAGCAAGAATCACAGGGAGCACGTGCGTCCAAGTCCCTAACCAGAAAGCAAATTTCAACAGATGGCATTTATAAAACAAGGTGAGAGCGAGAAACCCACTGCAAGTGTGAAGGCACATGCCCAGCAGAAGTCCAGTGGTAAGATGGCACCGCAGCCATTCCCCCTCTCTGTGGCCTCTGAGGGACCCATATCTTCTTTACCTCTGGCCATATACTCTGCTGTAAAATCAATTCTCTGCAGGATGAGGGTAACCTCTCCAGCCATTTTGACTAATGGTAATATGGCATATTCTTAAATAAAATGAAGGATTAATAAATTGGATGGACTCAAACTAAAAAGCTTCTTCTCAGCAAAAGAAACAATCAATGAGGTAAAGAGAGAGTCTACATTTCGGGAGCAAATTTTTTACCACATGCACATCAGATAAAGCACTAATCTCCAGGATATATAAAGAATTCAACAAACTTAATACCAAAAAAGCAAATGAACAACCCAATCAATAAATGGGATATAGAGCTGAACAGCTACTTCTCAGAAGAAGATATCCATTGATTAACAAATATATAAAAAAGTGTTCAACATCTCTAGCAATTAGAGAAATACAAATCAAAACTACTCTAAATTTCATCTCACTCCAGTCATAATGTCAGTTATCAAGAATACAGATAATAATAAGTGTTGGTAAGAATGTGGGGGGAAAGGCACACTCATCATTGCTGGTAGAACTGCAAATTGGTGCATCCACTCTGGAAAACAGTATGGATATTACTTAGAAGACTTGGAATGGAACCACTATTTGACCCAGCTATCCCACTCCTCAGTCCATACCCAAAGGACTTAAAATCAGCATACTATAGTAACGCAGCCACATCAATGTTTATAGCAGCTGGATTCACAATAGCTAAACTGTGGGACCAACCTAGATGCCCTTCAATAGATGAATGGATAAAGAAACTGTGGTATAAAAGTTCAAATATTTTTCTCTGTACTAGCAACAAACAATAGAAAAACAGAAATTTTAAAAATTCACAATTATATAAAATATGAAATAAATCTAACAAAAGATGTGAGAGAATTTCACATTGAAAATTCAAAAATGTTCTGAGATTTTTAAATACCTAAATAACTGTACATGGGCTGAGAAACTTAATGTGGTTAGCACCTCAATGCTTTCCCAAACCAATCCTAATAAAAATCCCAATGGGCTTATCTGCAGAAACAAATGCGCTGAGTTCTCAGCCACCTGGAACATAAGGGACCAGGGACAGCCATCAAGACCCCGAGGAAGAACACAGCCAGAGGAGCGTCACGCCTGGCTTCAGGGCCTTGTGAAGGCTCTGCCATCAAGACAGTGTGGCGCTGGCAGAAAGACAGTCAGACAGAAGGTGCAAAACAGATTCCTGAAATCACAGACGGCCACGTTGTTAAGTAGAGAAAGGGTGGAGTTTTCAACAGGTGATCCCAGAGCATGAACTTCAGGCCCTACTCCTGCTATGAACGGAATGTTTCCCAGGCGATGGATAACAGGCCTCAACAGAAAACCTAGAATCACAAAGCTTCACAAGAAAAGAACCTTTTGTCCTTGAGTTAGACCAAGATTTCCTCACATAGGACACTAAGTACAGTTCACAAGGAATGAATTGGTGAGTGGGGCTTCATCAAAATCCAAATCTTCTGCTCTTTAATAGACACTCAAGCAGGCACAGCTTGGAGGAAATGGTGGCAAAGCATATACCAGAAATAATCCTGGGACTCATATTCAAAAAAACACGGACTCTTAAAACTCAAAAGTAACAAAAGTCAGAAAAAGAGTGGGCAGAATAAAGCCACTTTGCACAGAGTATAGACACCGGTGCCAAATTAGCAAACAAAAAGATGTTCCACATCATCAGTCATTAAGAAGGACAAATCACAGCCACGTCAAGAATGACCCACACACACTCCAAGGGCTGGAAAGAAGGAGGCTCACCTCGCCTGGGGGCCTCTGAGGAACTGGCCCTTCCCACTGCTGAGGGAATCCAAGATGGCACCAGCATGGGGGAAGCCCTGGGCAAGTTTTCACACACCACTGGATCCAGCCCCTCCACTCACAGGCTTTTCTCTCAAGATCTGAAGTCGTTTTTTGTGTTTTCTTACAAGAAATATTTGCACATGAATGTTCACAGCAGCTTTATTTGCAATAGCCAAAAATGGAAACAACTGGAATATCCTTGAGCCCTGGCGTGGATAAAAAGGCAGAATACATCCACACCACAGAGCACTCCTCGGCAGGAACAAAGGGGCGCTCCGGACAGCGGGAAGGAACCTCCAAGTGAGTATTCAGAATGAAAGGAGCCAGAGTGCCATGCCCTCTGGTTCCATCTACCTGAAATGCTGGAAGAAAGCAGGAAAGGGTCGTCAGGGACAGGTCCTAGGGCACGTGGGCTGAGGGCCGGGGACAGTGGAAGCTTTACATGCTGGACCCCGCTGGCAGCACAGTGATGGAGTGGCTTCACAGGTGTACACCTGTCAGAACTTACCAGATTATAAGTTCTAAATGTGTGAGTTTATCATATGCCAATTACACCACAATAGGGCTGACGTGTGTAAAAATAATAAACGTTTAAAAAATAATGGTCTTGTAAACTCTTCAGTAGCATTGTAAGATGCTCACGATAAAACGCTACAAGATAAGAAATCTAAATAGTGTATAAAATCTGCTCATAAAAATAATGATTTTTCTTACACAAAAATGTAAGAGAAATAAAACAGCTCTTTATAATTCATCACAATTCATTTTAAAATTTACTGAATTATCTGAAAATGTAGACAGTGCTCTATGGGGATGAGGGGCTATGGGGACACTCTCCCCACATGC